TTATTTTACAGCCCTTCACTGATGCAAACAGACCAGCAGCCATGCTGTGTGTGATTTTACAGCTAAGCATCATTTCACAAAACTCTCACCTGGCAGCATACTGACAGAAGGCTCAACAATTTTCACCCTTCCACAGTTGCCTAAAGACATCCACATCTGACCAGTGCAAGGCTGGACAGGGCAGAGGTGGGGAGTAGGTGGATCTCTGACCTTGCCCAGTGCACCTGCTCTTTCATTGACATAAATGTAGAACACCGTGGTTTGACACTCACTGGACACCAGGTACCCAAAGGTGCTCTATCACTCCCCTCCTCAAGTGGACGGAGAAGGGGAAATGTACCGAAAGGCTGCTGAGTTAAGGGCAGGACGAGATTCTCACCGATTACCATCAGGGGCAAAGCAGACTCAACTTGGGGAAATTAACTGAATGTATTACCAATCAAAACCAGAGCAGGATAATGACAAGTAAACCCAAATCTTAAAAATACCTTTCTCTCACCCTTCCAGCAGCACAGGGAGATGGGAGGTGGAGTGTCTCAGAGGTTAACAGAAACACGGACAACAGCAGGGTCCAGTGCTGCACACGGACAACTCTGCAAGGGGTTTAGCCAAATATGTCAGGCTAATAAGCCTCTTTCAACCACTTCCACACAAATTTTGTTACCCCTCCATTACCTGCATTTTGGAGGAACAGCCCTTCACCTCCCAGTCCTACTGCCAGCCTTGGTAACACCACTGCTGAGTTGTCCCACCAGTCCCTCCCACAGTCACCATCTGCCCTCCCTCACTATTCAGTGAGCACAACACTGGACACCTGAGATGGCACAGGGCTGGGAAGGCTCCTTAGTTTGAGCCTCCACCCCCCTCCTATACCTTGATAACCACATCAAATCTGCTAAGATCCTTCTGAGCATGTTGCAAGTCACAGTGAGTTTCCTCTGCTGCAGTTATACTGCCAAAGAAGTGAAGACCTTTTTTTTTTTTTTTTGTAAATCACGTAAACTTACACAAGTTACAAATGCAGAGGTATTCCATTCCCCTCATATCATCCCTGCTCCTTCCATTTCAGTACCACAGCTGGTCAGAGAATATCTCATGACCCTATCAAGCTCTGAGAGAAGTTATCAGTGGAATTACAGAAGACATTCCTTACCAATTGAATGCATATTTTTCAGTGTGGATGTCTATCTTGCACACATGGGAAGACAGAAAGGTCTTCAGAAAAGAAAAAAACAAACCCTGTGGCATAACAAGGATTCAGAGTACTGTGTATTTAGGCCACCAATAAAGTATCACAGAGTGAGCAGAGAAAATGTACAGCCACTACTTTGGCAGTCAGTTCCCTTCACAGAATTGTATTTTAATTGCAAAGCGAGTAAAGATGTATTCGAAAAAACATTCAACATTCTGTTTGTTCTTAAAATCTCTTTTACAACAAGAAGCATTAAATATATTCCTACTGGTCTTACCAACACCCACCCAGCCCAGTGTTCTGCTTTCAACAGCAGCAATATGAGACATTACTTAGGGAGTGAGACAAAGCCTACACCACTGCCTGGGGTCCCTTCTCATGTACTCTTTCAGTACCCAAAGACATGCAAGTGGAGGGAGAATGATCCAGGAACATGATCACCTCTGCAGAATGGAAGGAAATTAGGAGGAGAGTGGCACAGAAAACAATCTGAATATCCCAGACTCACAACCCCAGCTTGCTGTGAACCTTCCCACCACTTCCACAGAGTCCCAGCCTAAAAACTCCTCTTTCCATACAGTTTGAAGGCCTCTACAAGTTCCCCATTCAGTCTCAGAAAGAACTGAAACTCTTCAGCAGACACATAGGCACAAGAGGCAAGAACCTCCACACACCTGCCCAACAGACAGGACAGGCACATTTCTCCCACGCGCTTCCCTACCGTCAGATGACTGTCAGATAGCATTCAAAACCTGCTCAAGGGCACATAAACCTAAATCCAGTCTTGCAGGGTTCCACTATCCCTCATCTACTCCATATAGCCTCTAGACAGGAAGATATTCTTTCTCAACGTGATCTAGTTAGAAAAACTAGTTGAAATACCCTGATATTTACAATTAACTACGAGTTCTGATATTTCAGAAATAAATTAAGCTTATTCCACAATCCAGGTAATTTCTAAAATTTCCAGATAAATCTAAATTTCTAAATAAAATTTCTAAACTTCATTCTATTAAATCCCTTACGAATAAAACACTTTAGATTACATGTTTTTGTTAGACTGTATAATCTACATATCATGTACAAGGAAAAATGTCTTTAGAATACATTCAATTATGTGCAGATTACTGTAAGAAATAGATAAAAACTCAAGACATAAAAAAACCTTGGATAAAAAATTTAAAACCCTTGGATAAGACATAAAAGAACCTTGGATAAAACATAAAAACAACCTTGGATAAGACATAAAAAAAACCTTGGATAAGACATAAAAAACCCTTGTTTACTCCTGAATTTTCTGCCTTAGAAATGTGCAAATATTCAGATGCAGTTTTGTATTTCTAAAAGCCCTACATCAGATTACAGGTAAGTGAAACCATCCTTTCAGGATACTATGAGAAAGTGCAGACTTAAGTATGTCAAAGAGTAGCAAAGACGTTTTTCCTAGCCTTTTTCTCACCTAATCCACATTATTACTTTTCCTTAAGCAAGTATTTCCTAAGCAGTGGTTGACTGCTTGGTGCCAACTCATCACTTCTGACAGAATGAGTTTAAAAAGGACTTTTTTTCTGATGGTGCATCATTACCATTGTCACAGCAGCGTTCATTGCGCACGGAAGGGTCCATGAAAACACTAACTGTTCCATGTTACTGTGAATTCTGCCTCAAGTATTTTACACGGTTCACATTTTAGAGTTCTTGCACAGATTTCGAGACTATAGAGACAACTGCACCACTGGAACTGTGCTAAGTGGGAGGTTACTGATGAAAGGAGCTGAAGAGAGAACTGCAGTTCTCAATGAAGGTAATGCATTCACACACCAAAAAAATCCTATTCTTCCCATGCTACCTATCAAACACACAAGTTCATTTTTGCTTTGTGAGGGTAGTCTAACAGGTGTCACATGGCTGGACAGCAACGACTAACCAGGAAACAGGTGCCTACCTTTTACAAAACCAAACCAAACAAATAAATAAACAAAAAAAAAAGGCAACACTTCACCAGTCCTTCCACCAAAATAGTAGTTAAGATCAGGCACATGGAAAATTCATTCCATCACAGTCATATTTGCAGTGGATGACCCCATAATGCAAGAGCACTGATGGCACACATGTCCAATGCAGTCTGCTACAAGAGCAGCTCTCCAGCTGGGTCTTAGCCCCAGTACATTTTCACAGTTCAGACAGTCTCAAACACTTGTCACATTTTCAAGAACCACCTTCTGCACGGGTTTTCTTTTTCTCCTCCATAAACAGGTACAGCAGCAGCTGGAGCACATCACCCCCTTTGCAAAGCCAAACCCAGCACTGCTTCCTGCTGACAGCCCCGGGTGCAGCTCTGGAGCAAGGCCAAACAAAACAGCATCAAGACTGTAGGATGTCAAGGAAACTTCTCAAAGTTGGAAGTCTGCAAAGAAGCCCAGAGAACTTGTCCTGGCAACTAATTTCTGATTTTTCAGAAAAGCTAATCATAAAGAGAACTAAAGCTCTTCATAAACACAGAACCTCGTTTTCCCTACCAGGGGTCATAGCAACAGACATAGCTCTCCAAAGGACACCATCACTCACAGAACTCACACGTGCAAAAGGAAACAGTACATTTCAAAATACCAATACCTTTTAAGAGTTCTTTTTAGGATCTCCACCCAAGCCTTTCACTGAGCCATACTAGAGATACACCAAAGAAATGCTAAAGAGTGTTTAAACACACTATACAAAGCCCAAATTCCCACAGCCGAAAACAAAACCTGAGACAGAATTAAGGTGGTGATCCTCAACCAAAATTACGCCCTCAATGTATATTTTCATACACCATTTAGCCTTATCAAGAATATTTAACATCTTCCCGGGGCAGGGGGGAGAAAAAAACAAACCAAGCCAAGCAAACCCAAACCCCAACACTTGGGAGGTGACGCACAGCTCAGCATTCCTGTCCCGGACGCGCCTGTCTCCCGTGTAAGTTTCACCTCCCGGCCCGGCGCTGCCGGACCCCTCGCACACCTGCCGGGCCGCTCTCGCCGCAGGCCCTGCCCGGCGCTGCACGGAGGGTTCGGGCCGCCGGCACCGCCCGCCCCCGGCCCGGCCCGGCCCCCGCGGGAGCCCCGACCCGCGCCCTCCCCCGCCCCGCCCGGGCCTCACCGCCAGGTCCTGCGGCACCGCTCCGCTCATGGCCCGCACGGTGCCGCTCCGCCAGGCCCGCGCGGGCAGCGCAGGCCCCGGCTCCGGTCCCGCCGCCTCGCCCTCGCCCGGCCCCGCCGCCAGCAGCAGCAGGAGCCGCTTCCCCACGGGGGAGGCCGCCGCGTCCGCCATCCCCGCCGGGCAGAGCCGCCGCCGCCCGAGCGCTCCGGCCGCCGCCGCCCGACACACCGAGAGGCTCCTGCCCCGCGCTGGGCCCGAGCGCCGCCCGCCGCCGTCCCGGCGTGCACCGCGCCGGCCGCCCGGCCCCACAGCGCCCCGCGAGGGACGGGCGGGACCGGCGGCGGCAGAGGAGCGGGGCAGGGACCGGGACCGGCAGTGTGAGGGGAGCGGGACAGGGAACGGGACAAGGACCGGGACCGGCGGTGTGAGGGGAACGGGCGGGGGAACGGGAGAGGGGCCGGGGCGGTGTGAGGTGGCACGGGGACGGGGAACCGGGACAGAGAACCGGAACGGTCTGAGGGGACACCGGGACGGGAACCCGGGCGGTGTGAGGGGCTGCTGGGACGGGGAACCCCAGAGGGCCGGACATCGGGCAGGAGCCTTCCCGCGGCAGGGCCTCTCACGAACGCCAAGTTCAAAACCTGGACTTCTCACAGAAATTAAGGAGCTTCAGTGCCCGCGTCTGAGGCTGGATCCCACGGCTGGCATGAGGAACCGCACGGCGCCAGCTGCGTTGCTTTCCCGTGAGGCAGATTTTGGAAAGGCATGTATTTAGGGAGTGACTGAGATACAAAGTCTTTATGTTAATGAATTCAGCTGTCACGAGGAACTGGTAAATTTGAACAGTTCTCATGCAGCATAGTGCAGTGCCCTAAACCTGCCCCTTTTCAACATGAACCACCACAAAATACCTCAGAATCCCACCGTTGTAAAAATGACGTGATTTTACATCTGTTTCTGCTTGTGCAGAAACCGTACCATCCTGTGAAAGATTCCAAGTGGTCCTATGTCCCCTTCCCGTTCCACCAACTCAGACCCACATTGCCATGATTAAGCAGGCCAGCATTTCCCATCTCTGGAGCATGGTGGTGGGTATTCCAAAGGCACACAGTGTCAGTTAGACCAACAGTGACAAAATCCACCAAACCAGGGGGTTCTTAACTGTCATTAATGATCGACCCAGGGAGCGTAGGCCATAAACATGGATTAAACTTAAACTTCAACTTATAAAATACTTAACAACTTTTCTATGCTAATTGTTAATTCTGTTGCACCAACTTCTATTACAGTTAGAAAACTGAAGTTTCACGGGTTAATTCTGTGTGTTAATTTCAAATACTGTTTTACTGTAAAAGGGTGAAGATAGCTACTGCTGTTAAACTGCACACTTCAATGGCTGCTAAACTAGATACAATTCCAACTCGTAGGAAGTCAGGTAAGTAACCATCAGGTGCCATCCAAAGGTGTCCCTTAAGCACTGGACATGGCTGCTTCTCCAGTCTGCCACCTTCATGGCCTTGACTGATGGTCAGTGCTCCAGAATCCAAAGAAAGGAATTAGCCCGAGTGGCTGATCCAGGGACCGACTGAGCGGTTTGCCTAATTCGGGAAAAGCAGGACTGATGCAGACACTCACCTGTACAGGTTTTCCACCCTCCCCTTCAATAATGTACCTAAGGCCACCCCCTCCATAGACAGCAGCCGTGTTCTTTGGAGAATTTTATTAAAATATATCCAAGAAGTAATCAAACATTTTCTTATGAGTCAGGAGAGAACTGAAGTGAGAAAAACATCTGTACAGAGGACAGTGCTGTAAGTTTTTCTTTACATGCTTTATTTCAATGTTTCACAGTTTAGTCATTGTCTACAAAAATATATTTCTGAAACTCTGAGTCCTCTATAAAAAAAGCTGGTCAGCAGCAGTGACCCTGACAAACAGAATGTACCTTGGGACAGTGTGAGCACCTCCTGTAAGCAGATTAGTGCAGCTAGGGCACTCCTGCCTCACCCTGGGAGACTTCTGTTCTTTGGGATTAAAGCTCTGCACTAGTTCTGAAGGAAGGCATTAAAAAAAAAAAAAATCATTCCACTTCTGTATACTGCACTAAGCTTGGGAGGGGGAGCTGCAAGTCAGTGTATCACACAGCAGAAAGTGCTAACAAAGCACTTGGCATTCAGGGAAAGGAGAAGACCTCGGGGTGCTTTAGTACTGGTAAATTTTTCTTTGAGCTCTCCGTTCAGAACAGCCTTTGTCTGGTGATAATAGGTTCAGGCTGTCAGCAGAGGTACAAATGGCAAACAGGCAGAGTAATCCTATAAGCGCAAAGAGAGTCCTTTTTTGAGGACAGGATAAGAGTTCTGTTCATTTTTACCTCAATGTTTTCTGCTGTGGCTTTAATCAAGGGGAAAATTGCCTTCACAACCAATCACAAGTTGTTGGATAGAACAGAGCCACTATCAGTGCTGTCAGCTTCAACTCCTTAGTACCCACAACTGGAAATATTCCTTATAACATCAATTATTTAATTCCTACGCTTACTAGTCACCAGTGTATCTAGCCACCACAAATAAGAACTGAGAAACTCAAGCGTCCCCCAAATGAGATCTTTCTACTCTTCCTCTGCTCAGTTATTTGACTGGTCTACAGAGATACCTGCAGTTAAGAAAAAAAAATAAATTGCCTCTTTTAAAAAAATAAATCTATCTTGCATTGTGCTCTAGAAAAGACAAGGTCAACGTACTCTGATCATCAAAGCTCATCATTAGAAGCCCCTTACCACAAAATAATCTCAGACCTGAACCCCTAAGCAGGGCAGGAATTTTCAGCAGCAAGTAGGAGTACTTATTGACAGACTGCTTCCCTAATGTGGTAATAGACAGAAGATGAGCTCTCTGAAAACTCTTCCACACCAGCCTGTCAGTTTCCTGAGCCAGCAGCTTGTGAAACCTAGATTTCCTTGAGATTAGAGAATTCAGGAAAGTGCTGCTGGTTATTTTAGGTACATCTGCAATCAATGGGCTTCTGAGCTTTAGGCTTTTGTTCAGAAAAAGTTCTCCTGTAACTCATGCCTACCACCAGTCCCAGTCTGATCTGCTAAACCTGAGCAGCCAAGGAGGTATATGAATTTTAAGTAGAATCAGCATCATCCACGAAAACACAGAAGCCATGAACCTTCACTGAGACAAATACCTTATCAAAAAAAGACACTCAGCACTAGAAAACTATTATCATTTCACTAATGCTAAACAGTTAAAGTGTAAAATCTGTAAGAAAACACCTGAAGTTTACTTCTTGACTATTTTCCTTTCTTGAATTGGTGGAGGGGGGTGGAGGAGAAAGGAAAGAATCACTTCACTGTATTAGTAGTAAGCCATTATGTAGAAGGCAGTGTTGGAGAAAAATTTAAAACCAGGAAAAAAAATCTGAAAACTTACTGATTCCGAAAGCTTTCCTCAGCTTCCCAAACTCAACAGCCTAAACAGAGGATTTTGTCCATACTTCAAGTTGTTTTTCCAGTCTGTTCCCATCTGTTCAGCTTCCAGTCATAGACACACAACATAGAGAAGAATCAAGGGAAGCTGAGAAACCCACACATAGGGTTTTACCTCCCATATAGCACCTACTTTATATATCAACATGAACAAATCAATCAGAAATTGTTACGTCTTGTGCACAGAAAGGCTGTAACTAAAATGTAACAAGATGAAATTAAAGGAAGACTTGGAATTACAGAAAAAATTTGTCCTGTGGAACCTCTTTTTCTGAGGACTCCACACCCCACAAAGAAGCAGTTCATATTCAATCATTTGTGAACTGGAAAGGACTTGTCAGCAACAATCCTGCCTTGGCTTCAGGTGAAAAGCTGAGCGTTCGTTCTCCTTTAGTATCACAAAGCCTATTCATGTAAAACAAACCGCTGTCTGGCCTTGCCCTGCCCTGCCATAGAGGTGCAGGATATCAGAGAATCATAGAATACACTGAGTTGGAGGGGACCCATCAGGATCAGAGTCCAACTCCTGGTGGTGTGCAGGAGACCACAAGAATCCCACCAAGTGCCTGCAGCACTGTCCGAACGCTTCTTGAACTCAGACAGGCTTGGTGCTGCAACCACTTTCCCGGGGAACCTTTTCCAGTGCTCAATCACCTTCTGGGTGAAAAATCTTTTCCTGACTGTCCAAAGCCTTCTCCATCAGCACAGACAAGTGCGATGTCACTTCTAGCTGATGCAGTTACGCAAAAAGAAAAAAAAAAATCTGTAGCATAAAGTTTAGAATCTCAGCATGATGGATACCTTGTGGATAAACACTGCCACAGACTGAGGTACTTGTATGTGAGGAACCAGCAACTGCAGCTGCACGTTATTGCTACTTGCTGTCTCTCAGGGCAAGCTTTTCCCATTTCTGCATTCTCTTACCTTCTCCAAGTTACAGACTCCAGGGTGAGCTATTCTGAAGCCTCACTAACACGGTGGCCACCAGAACACATTTGATGACATTTTAATCCCTTCCAAATTATTTACAAGGCTGGCTTTGAGACTGTTACTTTTAACTTCAGGCCTAGAACTGCATAGAGAAAATTCTGTATGGTCAAGAACTAGCAGTGCCTGCGCTACGTCTCTTCTCACAGGAAGCATTAATTAAAACAAGCAAAGTAACACACAGAGCTTAGCCTAGGCTGCATTCTATCAAGGGCATAATGAAGACAATAGTCACAATTTCTCCAATTCACTAGTATTTTTTCTAATATTCCAATGGCTACACTTAAGAGAGGGTCAGCCAAATTAAATTTAAGCTACAAGTCACAACTGAAAAGTGTGCACTGAAGTCTGGTGTTAGGAACACTGAGGACCATCCCTGATCAGGCGGCTTCACTTCTATTTTTGAGTGCACAAGGACAGCTCCCTGTCACGGACAACTGAAGCAGATACATGGGAAAACTCATTCATTAAGCCAAGGGGAGGCAAGGTCACTGCTGCCATGCCCCAGAGAAGGAGAAAGATTCATTGAGAGATTATAACTAAAGGGTTACAAAACAAAGGCAAGAACTAAAGTTTGTCGGTAATGAAATGCATTCTCCCGTCCCACATGAACAGGAAACAGTCTCTGTAGGGTGTTAAAGAAAGTCCTAGGAGGAGATATCCTCCTACTTTTTTCTGCTGCCAAAGGAGAGGAGAAAAAGACGCTGCTATTGGTCAGCAGGAATCTCTCTGTCTGCATCCAGTTTGCTCGTCTCTCCTGGGGAAGGGGTACGTGGTGCAGAGTGAGAAACTGGAGGAATCCCATGAGCTACAATCCCTTCCACTACTGGTGGTTCTGGTAGCCCAGGGGTGGCTACTCCCACTACTCCTGGAGGAAACCTAAAACCAATAGAAACATAGAAGTTACAAGCTTGTCCAACAGTTATTCAAGGAGAAAGGAGCTGTGCCCTCAGACAACTGCTGAATACAGATCCCTCTTTCTAACAGAAATGCTCTGAGATAGAACACAGGAAAAGTGTCCAGAGCTGAAGAGTAGCAGTGATATCCTAATGCCAAATGACACCTGTTCACAGACAGAGATAGTCTAAGGTCACACACTAAGCATTTGGATAAAGGTACAAAGTTTATCTCCAGTGGCAAACAGCATAAGGCACTGTATGAAAGCACCTGGAATTCCCTCCCCATCAGCAGGAGGAATATAAACTGCAGTTCTCCTTCACTGGGCTCCAAGACAGAAAAAGTAAGGAGCTGAACTAATAAAACAGGTAGATGCAAGATGAAAAACAAGAGAGCAACACTCATGAATTGCTAATGAACTATTTTTCCATTACATCCATTCTGCCTCCCTGTGCTGCCTTCATAAATATATCTGAACCTCTGTAGATCTCTCATAGAAGGGAAGTATATATTACCTACTTTGCAGACGGGAGAAAAACAGGGGAAGCAGCCTGCCCACAACCACTTGGCAGGTCTCTAACACGTAAATAAACTGAAATACACTATTTAGACCACTGAACAAAATCCACTGGACAGTATCTCAATAATAGGCCACATTTGGGCTACGGGCAAGAACTGTCCCTTGTTTATATAGCCCTAATGATATCACAACTTCTAAATGTTAAGTTCCACACCCTTTTTGGGGGCATCCAGCAGGCTTTCTTATATTAAGATATCTCTTGGGCAGGTATTGCAAGGATTTGCAAAAACTGAACTCGTATTCTAGCAGCTGGAACTAAATATGACCAAGTATGTGTTAAATCCTAGAACAGCTTTAGAAGAGCTGCTGTTAAGTTTTGTGGAAGAGCTCATGCAGAGAGTATACAGGAACACAGACATACCTGCTTGCAGGTACAAGTACTTCTCAAACCGACAGAGGGATGTTGGCCTACTTCAGCAGGAAGGTATGCCTGGCCAACCTACAGATCTCACCTGTAAGCTGCAGCTCCGTTGAGTTCTGGGTGGACAGTTGCAGGATCAATACTGGACCACTGAGCTGCTAACAGCAAGTACTCCTTATTAACACAGTTCCTCAAAGCATCAGGTATGTGACCTGCAAGAGCACCAAGAATGACAAAGAAAACCAGGACACAGGTAGGGGGGGAGCTTGTTCCCTGCAGCATTTACAAAGGAAATGTGCAACATCTTTTTCATCTACCTCCACAGGATAAGACTGGGCAGGGGAGACTCTCCTTTGAGCACCTGGTCTCTGGAGAAGACAAGAAATTGATCCTTCCTTCCCACTGATGTGATCTTGGGAAAGTTATTGACCACAACCTGCAATTGCTAAGCCTCGACCTTTTCAAGAGACAACACATAACTACTTCAGGAAAAACACACCAGGTAACTGTCAAAGGAATTACTGCAAAGGATTTGGAAGATGTAGGTAAAAGGCTTCCCCAGGGATAGAAAAAGCC